ACCTGCCACCTCATGTAGGTGCCACAACGTAGAATTCGGCCGGGCAGCGACCTGCGACTGTGTAGTATAGCGTAGTTTTGTAATGTTGGCGACAGCGATGAAAAGCGGGCTGTGCAAGATATAAAGATTCACCTATTTCTACTATAACACCATTTCCCCCAAGCACTATCGGAGTGTTGAGGAGGGTAGTTGTGCACACTTCCCGAAACCACTGGTAGACATCAATGGCTGTACTTTTACTAATATCTGCATCAAGTGCAGCAGTGGTGACAGAGAACTGGCGCAGCCAAAAGTGCATCAAAAGAAGCCACTTCTTCAGTGGAAGCCGTGACTTGGTGAAGAAACTGCCCTGACGTATTGATTTTCACAGAGCATCTGAGTTACATTTATATATTATTTTATGTAAAGTATTATACTGTGTACCTCTGGCAGTCAGCATTACGTGTAAGTAGGCCATGTCTGCGCATGAAATCAATTATTCCATCGACCCCTCCAAGACTATCTCTCCAAAGTGTATGAGTGACAGTGCCATCTTGCCACAGATACACTCGGCAGGCTTGATGCTCGACGGAGGCTAGCTTAGCTGAGTCTTTGCCGCTCAAATCTCCCGCTAAAAACCGACGCATGCGTTTGCTTGCCATCTATGTTGCGAAACACTGCAGCTTCCCTTCGTATAATTATACGACGCTATACTACGCACACGATTACGTTACGCGTCGCGCGATAGCGCCAGAGTCACGTACAGTACGCGTCAAAAAAAACGTCAACGATTTTTGGGTAGAGTAGAGTAGAGGAAGGGTAGGGTAGTAGCAGCGTAAGGGTAGAGATGGGTAGTAGAGTAGAGTAGCGCAGGGTAGCGCAGGGTAGCGAAGAGTAGAGTAGCGCAGAGTAGCGAGGAGTAGAGCAGCGGAGCGTGGCGTAAAAAACACTGCGCCGGCGGGGCAGAGGAGGACCGTGGCGTAAACAGGCGGGGGCAGAGCAGCAGTGAAGCGCGTACAGTAGACTAACATGCAAGTGCGGCATATATATAGCCATTGAGCAGAGCTTCTACATACACGCCGTCGTAGTGACCACCGCCACTAGCGCTGAGCAGCGCGACAGCCCGGCCCACAGGAGCAAACGCTGGAGCAGACGCTAGCTGCTAGTTGCTAGTATATATGTATGAGTGGCGTGCACGCGAAAGGACAAAGAGGGGCGCGTCAACCACAAAAACGAGCGGAATTCAATGGGCTTCCTCAATTAGCGACGCCAGTATCGTCGTTTCTAGTGCATGGTTTATTCTGAATACATAAAGCAGAGGATAGTTGAAGAAGAGTTGAGTTGTGCAGAGATTGTAAAAGCTTTGGATAGGGAACGAAGGGAAAGGTAGAGTAGGGTAGAGTAGGGTAGGGTAGGGTAGGGTAGGGTAGGGTAGGGTAGGGTACAGTAGGGTAGAGGGGAAGAGCTGAGTAGGGTAGTTTAGGGTAGTTATTTAGGTAGAGTAGGGTAGGGTAGGGTAGGGTAGAGGTGTTGACGTTTTTTTGACTCATACTGTATGACCACACCCCTTTCAATTAGTGCGCGGTGCCGTTCTTTATACTTGATCCCAGAGATGATATGTTGGTTTGAAGAACATGCTGTGCTTTGTCAAAATGAGGTATACATTGTAAGTTGCTGTGGTTTTCATGATTGGGGTTTTAATAGGTGCATGCATGTGTATTGTGGTTTTTAGCTCAAAAGCTAGTAGATTCACAGTTCCATGCATGCAGCCATCTGACTTTTGATGTGATTATTGCACTTCAGGCAGGCACTGAGTATCATTGTAGAGTGTTAAAGATGTTGGTTGCCACTCCTGTGCATATTATACACGGTATAAATTCTGAGAGAGGGGCAGCTTTTTATTGTGTAACCTGTGGTAACCTGGTTCACCATTAACCTAATTAACTTTCCAAGCACTTTGTAACTGATACCTTCCTCTGTAACTGGTTAATAGGTGCTGCTGTGTATACAAAGGCTCTAAGACATCCTCCATATGGTGCTCATTTGCTCAGTACAAACTGTGTGCTTTGTCAATTGCTAAGTCTAGGTACATATATAGGCTGTGAGCCAGTTCAAATTAGCACTCAAAGTTGGGTCAGTTCTCTATGTACCCAAACAGAAGTTCCTGGTAAAGATGAGGACAGATTCAGCACACCTGCTCTCTCATACTTCATCTATAGTTGTAGACATCATAGCAGGTGGGTGTGCATAGAGAATAACAATATTTTCCCTGCACCTTGCCTTTACTAAAAGCTAGGCATTGGAGTACCATAGGCTCTATAACAAGTGCATTACCAGTCTGTCCATACTCCTTTGTTAGAACACTCTGTAAGTATACAGTCTGAAGATGTAACTGGCTCTGACTACAGCCAACCATACAGAAGCCCTACAAAAACGACCTTTGGTCTGTGTTTCCAGTTTTATTTACCTCTTATCCCCTGCTCCTCTTCTCTTCCTCCCTCCCTCCCTCCCTCCATCAACCTCAGCTGGGCTTGAGGGATGCATTCTTTGAGACCACGTTCCAGCAGATGTTTGTGGAGGGCCGCAGGTCTGGTAGAGATGACCTACTCTTCTACGTCAAGTATGACGTCAATGAAGACAAGGACACAGTCGACGTGTTGAGGAGTGACTCTAGGACACTGCCTACGTGAGCTGCTAATTTTGTTGAAAAGTTTCTCCCTAAACATAGCAAACGAGGAGACAGTGTTTGGGTGTTTTATCATTAGTTTGCCTATTAGATATACTATGTCAATACTTTTGAATATGGCCTGTGCTAAAGCGCAGTGGTTTGAGGTTTGCCTTGTGTTGTGTTATGTTGAAGATTTGAACCCCTACCAGCTGAGTTGCCTTGGTGGCTCAGTTGGTAGAGCGCTCGCCTATACTACTGTAATCATTCAGAAACTCAAACTTGTCCCTGTGTGTCATAACCCCTATATTATGAAACCTGTGCATGTGGTAGAAATTATTCATGTACTTGTTGCATCAGCGGGCCTGTTACTTACATACCACTAAGAGTGCTAACCCTAATGATCATACCTTAGTTTATACATAATGTACTTACTACATGTTGTCTTGTGTAGTGGATTATAATAAGTGTATGTAGTTTGTGAATGCTAGGAAATAGACATATGATCACAGGGGAAGGCATCCTCAGTTGGCATTACTCCACTCCACCAATATAGCTAGCTGTAGGAGTCCAGTACATAGCAGGAGGGTGGTGTATTGAGGGTGTCCCTATCATCAAAGAGCTGGCCGTCCTTTGTGTGAATGGAAATGTATGATCAAAGCCCTCTACACCTTCCTGGCCCTCTTTGGCAGAGTTACCAGGTTTCCATTATACTCTCAACATGTTATGACGCAACCTTCCTCCCGTTTCCTTTTTCTCTGTTTATATACACATAGTGTATATACAGTTACCCCCTTCTTTATGTGTACATACATAATAGCTACAGAGACCTTTGACACTCCTTTAAGGCCTGACAGCGTCTCAATTGTCCATGTTCAAGAGAATAGTATATTTTTTCCTACAGGGAAGAATGTTTATGCAAATAAAACATAGAAGAGGCTATGTTTAAGCATGAGATATTGTGTATCTTGCTAGTTAGTTGATAGCTATCCCTCTAACACTTTATGACGCAAAGCATCGATAATCCATGCAGGCACGCGTGCACACACACACACACACACAAGACACTATATGCCTTGAGAAATTGAGAATTCAATTGATGGGTTAAAGTAGCCAACTTACATATTACATATCTCAACAACTTGGTAACGAGGTAGAAAGGCAAACAAGTCCTACCAACTGAGCTACCAGGGCAACTCAGCTGATAGGGGTTCCAATCTACAACACAACACAAGGCACACCTCAAACCACTGTACTATGGCACAGTATACTCTCACTCAGTATGTAGGAGTAGACCGGGGTAAGTAAACCACCAAAAGACGCCCAACTCAAAACTGTGTATATGTATGTCTCTCTCAACCACTTGGTAACGAGGTAGAAAATCAAGGCAAGGCAAACAAGTGAACTACATGTACACACTACTTGACACATATTACATGTACTATGGCATTATGTTATTTTTGTACTGCTGTGTTCCTATGGATTATTTTTGTAACCTTTTATACCTCTTATATGGTTTATTTTATATGTCGCAGATTATTATTTTTGATACCATTTGATAACTTTTGTAACATCTGTTGTAGTCCTTTCACCACCGTCGTGCATATGCTCCCGTGTTTTGCAAGTCCCAAGTAAGCCCTTGTGGATATATGTATGTTAATTGTAGCCCCTTTTGAAGTCCTGTTTTCTTTCTCTTTTTTCTTTCTTTCTATTTATGTATATAGCGTGAGCTGTTCAGTTTTCATGTATATCACTACTTGATACATCTAATATGTACATGTACTAGACAACAAGCAAACCAAAGAGACCTAACAACATGCTTCTCCTGGACAGTTTTCCTCGGCTGAATAGAGGAAATGGTTGATATAAATCAGCAGCCACTCAAAGTTTAAAATATTCTTGTCGTTTTTTACTTCACTATAGTATGAGGCCTCACACTATAAACCAAAGAAGACACAACTTTCCTCCTTGTTCGAAGGACCAGTAATACAGACTCTCTCTCCACTGTAGCCATTGCACATACCGTAATGTGTTCATACGTGATTGTAAATACACGTGAAACATGCACAAAAAATTAAACTAGTGACTTAGCTTGCCAAGCATTTGTTCTAATGTAGAGAGTAGCTTCCAGTGAGATTGATCATTTCCCAGTATTATCTCCCACTGCAGTCCTCCCCCTCTCATGACATATATACACAGTCCTGTGGGAATACAATCCCTCCTGATGGTGTCCCTCCATTCATTGCCAAGTCTTGTGTCTCCAGCATGCAGTCCATTGTCATGTACTACACTGTCTGCACTACTGTCTGTGGTTTGCTCTGTGTGAAATTTCAGCTGTGTGTTTGGAGGCACCGAAATTATATAAACAGCTCACACTTTTAGGCAGGCCATATGCGTGGCAACTTCGTTGCTTTAACAAACGTTGCAGCAACTTCCGAAGTATTGATATGTGAAGGCCAGACAAATAGTTGCCAGAAATGTACAAAAGCCATCCATTTCTTCAAGCAGTTACCTGGGCCCATCTACACGTTCTGCACCACTTTATCAATACTTTTCTGTTGCTGCAACTTTTGTTGAGGCAACATAGTTGCTGCGTGTATGGCCAGCTTTACATGGAGAAAGAAGAAAACCTGAGAGAGGGAGGTGAGAGCTTCTGAAGGGCTCCAACACCTTTATACAACAAAGCACATTGACATAGACCAAGGCTTGTTGACTGCAGGGGCTTTGTACATGTACATATGTAAGAACATCTTTATCGTAATCCTTAATATTCACTCATGCACGTAACTGAAATTTTTGCAATAGTTGCTGCATGCACCAAAAAGTCTCGCATTCCCTTGCCAAAAATTCATTGCATTTGTTCAAGTTAGTTAACTAGTTTACTCACATTGATTCCTGTTGGACTGACTTTTTCTTTGTGAAGGTTGATCCTCTCTCATCTCCTCTGGCAAGAGCTGGTGGAGATGGTCTCACAGAGATTGTGATGTCCAAACGTAATTCTAAACTCACACATGCAAAAATTAACACATCCACTGAACTGAAATTTTAGCATGTGCCAGTAACTCTAGCGTTAGCTTGCTAAATAGTGTTCTTTTAAGTCGACTATGGAGGGTGAACAGTGCCAAAAGTAGCTTTCTTACCTTTATTATGTAAATGTTATTCAAAAGCCATTGAACTGTACTCTTTTTGAGTGACTGGTTTACTCACAATGATTCCTGTTTAACTGAATTTTTCTCCTCTGGGGGTAGCTGCTGTCACACAGAGATTGTGGAGAAACTGATATCAGCTGGAGCTGTCATCAACTACCATGACAAGGTATAAAAACTTCAAGCCAGGTAGACAGACTAACCTCTGGTGTCTCCCTTTCTGTGAGTAACCTCTGACCCTTATAAAGTGGGAGTCAAAGGTCACATGCAAGTGTTTTATTTTCAGCAGAGGGAGAGCCTAGGTACAAGGCAACCAGTTATGTAGACGTTTGTGTGTCTCCAGACATTTTATTTTCTTTATAGTGAGTTCAGGTGTTACAGATGCAGACTCTTTGAGAGACAGTAGACAGAATGGATTGACTATTATAGCACTGTTTTGGCTGAATGTCACTATAAACCTCTCAATACCCTGAAGTGTTTCCTTGCCTTGGTCAGTGAGTCAGAGAGCCAGAACTGGTCTTGCTACACCAACTCACTGCTCCACCTGTCACCATGAGCAGATCTGCCTGCGCTTTTCGATGCCTGACCGAGGCTGTACCTCTTGTACTAGCTGTACCTAACATGTCCTTATCCCCCTGCACGCATACGCAGCTAGGGTTACTGTACTCAATATACCTATGAGGTAGCTATGAGAAACCAACAGAGCCATCTGTCACCATGAGCAGATCTGAGTGTCTCCATCATGTGCTTGTTGCTTATCATTCCTGACAGTGTTTTTATGGTGTGTTGTGGAGATGGATGTCCTCCTACAGTGGAACCTCTCATAACGGACCCTCCGAGAAGCTGACAAACACTAAGAACGGATCGAAGCTACCTTAGAGCTGATACATTGGAAACCTCCGAAAAGCGGACACATTTTGCCTCCGAGAGCGGACGGAGTAGCCACTCCCACAGAACTCGCACTCCATTTGAAGAGCGATCCACACGCTAAAGAACATCGGCAGCGTGGGTTTACGCTAGTCTTTGCCCGGCGAGCACAGCGAAAGGCAATTGCGAAGACTGGGAAACTGCACCCATCGCCGCTATCTGCACTTTTTTTATGTGCATGCCTTGCGCAGTGTAGCTAATGCTATACATCAGTCGTCATCGTGCATAATCAATAAAATTGTTTTAAATCACCCCAACATGTTATTATAAGGTGAAATAACCGAGATGGGGACGACTTCTCTACAAGGGACAAAAGCGGTTGACCCTAAGTGTCCCCCATCTCGGAGGTTCCACTGCATTACTAACAATAATGTGTTCCTCTTTCTAGGATGGAGCAACTCCACTCTTGATAGCCAGTCAAGATGGACACCTGGAGGTAGTTAGACTTCTGCTGATGTCTGGAGCTAAAGATCTACCTTATAAGGTATAAGGATAAATGACCTTTAATTACAGTTAGTGGTCACATTTTTGTTTGATGTACTTTTAGGAGGTAGGGGGGGTTGTCATGTACATATATACAACCATACACAGCATGGCGGGCCTATCCATTGGCTGTACTCTCTGCACATGTGTGGTGTGCATGTACTGCAGGATAGTCTGCTTCTCACACATATTAAATGAGCACTCCTGTGCATACAATTTAGTGCTGCAATAATGTGTGACTGTCTCTCATTTAGTCAATGAGTGTTATTTTCCCTTACCTCTCAGGATGGACGTACAGCCATGAGTGTCGCAAGAGCCAACGGTCATCAGCAAATAGTCAAACTTATACAGCAGTACAAAGTTTAAACTACTCTACATCTCTCGACTTCTAACACTGTAGCCTAGTTCTATACTCTCTACACCAAAGGTCTTTTACAGGAGTACAAAATTTACAGGAAAGAACACTCTACTTAACACTGTAGCTTATCTCTTTACTATACTACATACCAGACTTACTGAATTGTCTATTTCCTCCTTTTCAATTACATACTGTGTTGTTGCTGATTTTTGTATGTCAGCGTAGTTAGTATACAAACTGTACTCTATGGTTTCGTTTAACATTATATTTTGGTACACCATGATGTCAGAGATTTGCATGCTAGATGCACTTGCCACAGAGGTAGATGCTCATACAACCACCATGTAAATTAACTATTTACGCGCGTGTGCAAGTACTGTTACAGTGTGTGTTGAATATTGGGGGAAGATAGTCCTAGAGTTTGGGAGGCGTGTGCCAACCTCACCGCATATGGCTCTAGTGCGTCACTGTTGACACACCCCTGACCCACCTCTTTCTACAAGGAGAAGTGTATTATTGGGCCATTATTCTACTCTTAAGGTGCCTGTGTGACTAACTTGTAGTAATAGTAGGGGACATAGTACGCAGCTAAGCAAGGGGCTAACGTTAGAGAGGAACATATATAATACATGACATGTGCATACAAGCTCAAGAGTATTTATATTATATAGGACACAGAGCCCTGCCTTGAGAGCTGGGGATGGTGGGTTAAAAGATCTTTGTATGGCACCCCAAATCCCCCAATGTTACAGACTCTTATATATGTAAAATCTACCACTTACAGAATTGTATTGACAATCACCTACCTTAGGCTCTCTGGGGAATACAATCATATGGTTCTACAATTATAATTTATGGTGTATTTTGGAGATGGATGTTCTCCTATTACTAACAATAATGTCTTCCTCTTTCTAGGATGGAGCAACTCCACTCTTGATGGCCAGTCAAAATGGACACCTGGAGGTAGTTGCACTTCTGCTGATGTCTGGAGCTAAAGATCTACCTTATAAGGTATAAGGAAAAACGGCTTTTAGTTAATGGGCACATCTTTGTTTGAATGTGTTGTTATGTACTTTTAGGAGGTAGGGGGTTGTCATGTATAGAGTTGTGTGTGGCTTTGCTGTATGCCTACACAGCATGGCCAGGCCTATCAATTGGCAGTACATGTGTAGTGTGCATGTACTGCAGGATAGTCTGCTTCTCACACATATTATATGAGCATTCCTGTATATACATACACTTTAGTGCTTCAATAATCTCTCATTCATTCAATGAGTGTAATTTTCCCTCACCTCTCAGGATGGACATACAGCCATGAGTGTCACAAGAGACAATGGTCATCAGCAAATAGTCTAACTTCTACAACAGTACAAAGTTTAATCTCTGACTATAGCTACATAACACTGGTAGCTTAGTTTCTATACTACGTTCACCAAAGATACCAATTTTCAAACTTTTGTAGCATAATAGTATAACAAATACTCTACTCACACTGTGGCTCAGTTCATTTCTATATGCTTATTATCATCTATCACTTCATTTTTACAGCTGTTTAGCATAAACTTTGTATAATTATTTATGTATTTTAATAGTTACAATTACGACTGCTCTCTTCTATGTCACGATGGTCACGGTATAATGTATGTAGTTTTCTGCACCATCACAGATTAACGCATTGTAAGACAAGATACAGTGTGCAACAATAGTACAATGTCAGTGACAAAGTACTAGCATTCTAGAAGAGGTGGTTCCAAGTATATACACCAAGAATTATTGCGGTATCCACTTTCAGGTAAACCCGTGCTTTGCGTATATAGTAGCAAAACTGACAAGCAAAAAATTCTAAAACCTCAGACATTTCGTGATCTCTTCTTCTATATACCATGCTGTGGATTGGAAACTTATAAATCCCTCCTGTGCAGACATGTATGGAGGTACCGAACATCGCTAGTTTTGTAACACTGAAAGGGTGGTTACATGGCACCGCAGATCTCACGCTTAATCTGATACTGAGTTGGTGTGTGTGTCTGTGTCTGATGTCTATCTGTCTGCCTGCTATGCCAGCACTACAGGCTACAGGCTAGGTGGCCAATGAGCCAGATACCAATAGCCTCAGTACATTGGGTAATAGCTTTCAGTGCATGAAAGGTAAATAGTAATCAGAGAGTCGGTAGACTCTCTATATAGGGATGATACGGGTGAAATCTCACGTGATCCGCGTACAAAACGACTAAAAACTCGGTGAGAATCACTCCCTAGGCCTTCAAAACATACTAGCAATAGTCTACGGGCCCATATCTACCTATACATGTCCCCCAAGACCTCATACGCACCTTCAGTCGTCCACGCGAGAATTCGCTCATACGCGATTTCACGATTTTGGTGTAATCATCATATTATTCTTCATCTTCTTCTTCTTCTTCTTCTTCTTCAGACCCGCTAGCTCCTTACTGGAAGCACTTGAAGCATTGATTTTTTCACAGAACGTCTTCGAATTTGCCGGAGGTGTGCACGCATATCAAGCGATCGTTTATTTCTTGCCGCAAGTCACTACGGTAGATCGTTGAGCTCTTCCTCGGTAGTCACTGAACAACGCCATTTGCTGCTAACTCAGCATCAGTGAGCCGCCGAGGAGGGCGTTTCCAATGCGGTGCGCGCGCATTTGTCTGGTCCACGTACGACTGGATGCCTAGCCTGCAGAGAAAATTACTCTCATCCTCCAGTGCCTTCTGTAAGTCAGTGTACACATTTGTAAGTGGCTATCTCTTGTTGGAGACACTACGCATTACACCCTGCTTCAGGTAAGAGCAGTCCATTAGCCTCTGCTCAGTTATCTCACATAATTATACCCATGAACATCAGAGTGACTGAAAATGCAGTGTTGTCATAAGCCATTAAAAATAGTGGAAACAAGTGGAAAAATCATTTATTCAAAATGAAAGGGGGATATAGGGATGGCTTGAAGCACCAAAAAGGAAGAAACAAGGGGTCATTACACACCAAATATGCACAAAGCCACATGACACCATCCCTATATCTTTATTTTTTTGTTCATAAACAAAGTTTAATATGAGACAAAGATATAGGGATGGTGTCATGTGGCTTTGTGCATATTTGGTGTGTAATGACCCCTTGTTTCTTCCTTTTTGGTGCTTCAAGCCATCCCTATATCCCCCTTTCATTTTGAAGAAATGATTTTTCCACTTGTAAAATATATCAGAGCGTCGGTAGACGCTCTATGTAGGGATGGCACGGGTGAAATCTCACGTGACCCGCGTACAAAACGGCTCGAAACACGGCGAGAACGCTTAGCTAAGCCTTCAAAACCAAGCCAAAATCACTGACAGGCCCATATTTATCTTATAATATTCCCAAAAGTATCGTACTGGGCTCTAATCATCCACGCGAGAATTGCTCATACCCGATTTCTGGATTTTCGCGTTACCGAAAATAGGTGAAGTGCTGATTTTTCCATTAAACGTCTCCAGATTCGCCAGAGGTGTGCACGGACATCAAGCGATCGTTTTTCTTGTCCCCTAGTCGTCTCTACGGTGGATCCTGAAGTATTTACGGTACACGGTGAACGACGCCATTTACTGCCAACTCAGCATTGCGTCGTGCACGTGGGCGTTGTCATGTCCCAGTGTGAAATCACGTGATAAAGAGAGAGGCCCTAATTAGCGCAGAGCGCGCGAGGACAGGGGGGCGGGGTCGTAAGGGCACGGCCGGCTATAGTAGAGGAGGTCGAAGGTCTACCGGAAATACTCCCATGCGTGTAATAATATGCCCGCGCCCCCGGTCCGCGGCCGGCCGTGGATACACGGTATTACATGGAGCATGCGTGGGGCCGGGGGCCGGGGAGATATTCTCGAGGCCGAGCTCCGCGCGCCGCGCTGTACCTATATATTGCGTGGCCGCCTGGAATCCCGCGCTCTTTTGAGAGAGCTCCCCGGCCGTGCTGTATATGCTGGCGGTTGTTATCCTTGTGAAGCTGTGGATTGCAAAGTTCGCCCCCCGTTGTATACACAACTGATTGCGGGGAAGAGCCTTGTGGTTTTGGTAAGTGTGTCAATTTTTTCCTGGGTATATACTTCGCAGAGGTGTGTGTGTTTGAGTTACGTGCAAGGGTGTGTTAGTGTTGTTCCCAACAGTTCTGCCTAGGACGTTAAAGAAAAGCGCACCTTTGGCACACGCGCGTGACGTTATATCCTGTCTCTTCTCATGTGCATGGTCCAAAGGTCAATTTGCAGAAGAGAGTCCGTGGTTCAAAGTTTAAATTGCACACAGAAGACGTATAATTAGGATAAGGGATTTGTGCTTGTGTCCTCTTAGGTGTTACACAGACATCCTGTGACTCTGTGCTGATATTTTGGGCCAAGCTACTCATTTTATTTGAAGTATATAAGTTTGGTAAACTGTGCAATCCCTCATTGCGTATTTGCTTCGTATTCCATCAGCTGTTTCAGTACAATACAAGACACTTCTGGGTTTGGCCACTGGTGCTCCTGGTTGTTGTTTTGAGGTTGTGCTGCACCTTGTGGCTCTGGTGCCTACCTCTACTGGCTTACTTTATTTGGTGACGTCCTCCTGATATACACCCAGGCTCCTGCGTCATTTCAGATAAGTTTTTTTACTATTAGAGAATGCCTTACCGCTCAGAAAGGAAAAGAAGAGCATATTTTAAGAACCGAGACAATGCAGTTAAAGCTGATTGTAACAGAAGGTATTATGTGCAGAATTCAGAGTATTTAAAGGATAAAGGTAGATTGGTTTATCACTCTGACCCTGATAGGAAAAAGGCATTGTCTAGGGCTTCATATTATGTACATTGTAATAAGAAGAAGGCAGCTGTTAGTGCCTTACGTGTTTCTGATCCCAAAAAGAGAAATGCAACTGATAGAGCCCATTACAAATTGCAGCCTGGGAAGAAAAAGGCACTAGCTAGGGCATTGTATAAGTTGCACAAAGTGAAGAAGAATGCTTGTGATAGGGCATCCTATAAATGTAATGTGGAGAAGCGAAAGGCTGCTGCAAAGGCCCACTATGATGTAAACCCTACACGAAAGCGTGCAGCAAGCAAGGCAGTTTACCAAGCCCACCCTGCAAAAATGAAGGCATCGTTTCTG